CCTGGGCCCTACCTGGGCCCTACCTGGGCCCTACCTGGGCCCTACCTCTCCTATCTCGTTCCAAATACCTCATCAGGAAGCCTGCCCTCCGCCCCTGCGCGCCCCACCCCATGTCCGAAAAAAGTGGAAGACCCTCGAATCGGTATTTGGAAAACCGTTTTCCAAAAAGGCCCAAAAAAAAGGTCTAGTTCCATGCTGATTACTTGTTAGATTGAGTGCGCCCATTCCTCTTCCGCACGCTGGAAGAACCCCACAACCCTGAAAAGCCCACCACTTTCGGAGCCTCCAAGTCCAGGTCCACCACCTTGGGGCCTTGATCACACGGATTCGCGAGACATGTGGTCAAACATGAGTGAAGGTGGGACAATTAACATCAAAAGGTCTCGAGTAGTCTGACCGAATGGCGAATGGTTTTTGTTCACCCATCCATTGCCATCACAATGTTGGGGGTCAGTGTAGAACCCTAAAGCCGTCCGGATTCAGCTGAATGTCTCTCCAAAAGGCCATGTCTTGCGCCGTGCCTCACTGCCCTCCCTGAGCTTCCCACCGTCGAAGACCTGAGCGTTTTTCTCACGGTTTTCTCACAATTTATTATGCTATACCGACTGTTCTTGGCCAGGGTGGACCCCCAATAACCCATCTCAGTGAAGGTGCTCCAACATCTTGCATTTAACCCAGGGATGTTGAGCAGTTGCCACTAAATCTCCGGCTTGAGCAGTTGGTTTCCTGGAGCGTAAGAGTGGAGCTTCAGCACCTAGTGGACCCTAAAAAGTTGGGTAGTCATGATAGGGTATGAAGCTCCCCTGGTTCAGTTCAAACTCATATGTGTGCATGTATATATAGGAATATTCATAGGCTCTTACATACACTGCATTGCGTCCGTCACACCGCATAACATCACATAAATATACATACTGACCAAACCTAACATGACATACCATAAGATTGCATTGACATGCATGCACCACATGTGCATGTGTACTCATCCATGACCACGACTGCCCCCTCAACCCACGGCCCTCACCCAGCTCCATCGACCACGTGGCACGCGATCCACTTGGCGAGCTGGTGCCACCGGTGGTCGTCGAATCCTGGTGATCCGAGACGCGCCCGGGACCCTCCCGGGCTCCTTGGCTCGGCCCACCCTCCGAGTCATGGAGAGTCATGGACCTGATCCCCTCAACCTCAACCTCACTAAAGGGCTGCGCTTTTTTCTGATGGCTTCGTGGTACTCTTGGGCTTAAACTCTTCAGGGGGCCTGGGAGACCATGTCCCATCTCTATGTTGGCCTTTTGCTTGGGCAAGCTTCACGTTGAGCACGCGCTTATGATGGATGGCTTCTAGAGATAACATAAGAAAGCCTGAAAGTGGACTTCCAGACGGTATTTGTGCACCTTTTCTCGCCTGCACCGATCCAGCCTCCGAGTCTAAATCCAGGGCGATCTGCCTCTCCCAGCACTTGGGAGTTGACTGTGGGCTCCAGATGCTTGAAAAGGGGCGAGTTTTACCAACACCTTCAAAATCCTTCAAAGGCTAGTGTTCAAAATCTAGGAAGGAAGGAAAAGGGACACCCTGCCCGCCCTGCTCTAAAGAAACATTTATAGAACCACGCTGCACCAACACAATGCAGCTAAGGCAGCTGATTTTCCTACTGTACCACGCTGGTTTTTGCAGCCAGTGCCACCAACAACCGGGTGATTCTTGATGGAACAACCACTGGTAAAGCAATCCACTGAGCTCCACTCGCTTCCTGAACAACCTCGCCTCGCCTCACATCAAGGCCTCGCCTCGCTGCCAGCTTTCCTTGCCAACTCAGCTGGCTCACATCGTTCGACGCTTCCGACTTCAGCTGGCTCCTGGGAGGCCACACAAGCTGGCTGCACGCATCACCGTGTCAACCATCAATGGGAGCATGAATGACCAATACCTTTAGCAAAGATTGTAGTCGGAAATCCGGTTCCGACACTCGGTGCAGGCCCGTGGGCCCGTGGACTATAGATTTGAGGAGTATATAAGTAGGCGTGTTGGCCATTGTGTAGCTGTTCCGCGTTGGTGATGTATGTGGCGAGACTCACTAGCACTAGCACTTGAAAAGCTGGAAAAGCATGCATCACAGCATCACGTGCCTTTAGGGCCAGAGAAAGGAAATAGAGACTTGACTAAACTGACTAAACTTGCATGGAGCACCCAGCCGAGACAAGCACGACAGCGTGTGGCCTCTCGCAGGAAGCGCTCAAGGACAAGACATCCACGAAGGAGGCATCGACCTCGGGTCGACCAGCAGAGTGCCAATTCAATAGGAGATCGGTTTGCTGACGAATGGGGGATTGTTGGGAACGCGGTCCGCCACCTCGCTTTGCAAGAAGATTTGTTCAAAACGCAATGACGGCGCCAAGATCAACACCCTGTTTCTATTGTTTTTGGTAACAGTCCGAGAGAGAAGATGCCTTTGAAAGAGTTGATTTTGCTCAAGAATGCTTTTTGCCCACCTCCTTCGCATATACCAAGTTAGGCTCAAGTTTGGCCCTTGGACTTAGGCATAAGGCAAACGGAGCGTATATTGTCTTGTCCAGAGTTTTGGACTGAGATTAGAATGAGAGGAAGTGATGAATCACAAGAGCCACCTGCAGTAGAACTGTGAATCTCCACGTCAGCCCTGGTTGAGGTCTTGCCTTGAAACCACAGAATTCCCAGTCTGCCTTACCACAAAGCCAATGAATCAAGGCCTCCAGGACTAAATGCAAGAGGGTTAATGGTTTGATTCGAACAATTCAATCAACTGCATGCTAAGAGATCCAGGGCTGGTATATAGATGTTTGAATAGATAGATAATCAATAGATATATATATATATATCCATACCCACTCCCTATTGGATTGACCAATTGCACCCACCAAACGCACGCCCGACCGCGCTTAAGCAACGGCCCGCGTTGAAACGCACGGCCTTCGCTCCCAAGCCGGGCACCTCCGGCTTCGAAGATGAGCTGGAGCTCCCTCCACTGAGGTAGTGGTCCATGCGCTCCTTAGTAGAGATCTCCACGACCTCTCTTTTTGGGGGGCGATAAGACCCAGCCACAAGCGGATCTCCAGGTGTAACAAGTGGACGTGCAATTACGCTCGAGACCTTTGTTGCTCCACTCACGACAAGAAACTCTGAAACATCCATGAAACATCTGTGTGAAGGACGTACTTTCAAAAGTGGTCACCACACCACACCTGTGCTGATTTCCAACTAAGGGGTGCATCGAGCGCACCAAGGAACCAAAAGCCAGCTCGGAAACCAATGGCTGCAAGTTACCCTCGTGCCCTGGGAACACGGCCATGGTCAGGAAAAGCTGACAAGGAGACAAGCTGAGCTCTTCTGTGATGCCAAAGATGGCCACTTGCTGGCCAGCTGGCGCTTCCCCCAAGTCATGCCAAAGAAAGCGCCGTCACACAGTTCGCCCGGCAGCGCCACGCCGCCCGAGCCCACGCCGCCCGAGCCCACGCTGCCGCAGTCCGCTGCCAGGGCTCTGGGTCGCCCTTGAGGTCCAAGACATCCAGGAAGGGCGCCATCATGCGCTCCTTGCTCTCACGAGTCTCCTGAGTGCCAACGTGCAAACCACAGTCGGCCCACTCAGGTCAGGTCTCGAGCCAGGCCCAAAATCGGACACCTCCAGCAGCATCCAACTACCAAGCGCTTTAATACAAAGCAAAAGGGTTCCAAAACATGCGTCCATCTTGTGTTGGGCACTGTGCCCCCACCGCCTCAGTTGACCTCGCCACCACCAAACCAACCAACGCAACCCACACGCCGGGCCACCCAACCACTCCACAGCAACCCCCGCACCCTGCCACGTCCCGCTTACGCCCACGCGACGTGCAGAACCACCGCGCTCGCACGCACACCTCGCGCGCATCGGTCGGTCGGCACCGCCCGAGGCGCGGAGTTCACGGTGGGGATCAGCCGCTTCGGCCGCAGCTGCCGCACCAAGGCCTGGAGCTCGTCGAAGGAGCTGTGCTCGCCTCGAGCTCGGTAGGTCGGAGGGCCGGTGGCGGAGTGGAGTCCGGGCGGGCTCCAGGTTGTGAGGAAGGCGGTCAGGCGTTCCATAGGGAGGGGAGAGGTGGACAATAAGATATATACAACCACTGGTGCACGGCAGCTTGCGTGCTTAAGAACCTCAGCAGGCTCACTGACTGCTTGCACCATTGCAACCAGAGATCCAAAGGCATCCACTGAATCCACGCGTCACTGATTCCATGCTGCCAAGCGGCTGTACGGAACACTGTACACCCGCGTGCGGCCGTCGTTTTCCGCCCAACAGCGGCAGCCAGTGCTCCTGGTCAGCCGAGCCACTCAAAGAACACCACAACTGGTCAGTCGAGCCAAGCGCACCGAAGAATGTAAGATTTCTTGTTGACTTAGCGATGCCCTTGTTCCCATATACTATAGTAGCCTCTTTCTACTAGCAGTAAGGCCAGGAGCTCCTAGTAGCGTCCTTGCTCCTGGTCGACGGCGATGCCCTTTGTTGAGCGCAATGCATGAATGCCACAATCCTGCATGACTAGACTAACACCACTTGCACCCGACCCACCCAAGCAGTTCTAGAGAATAGATCGAAGAACATGACCCCGAAAAGGGTGACCCGAAATGATTCCCGATCCGCACACATCCTGGCACTTTCCCAACCTGTTCTGCCGCCTGATCTGCGGCCCCCATGCCCACACCGCTCCCCTGCGCCATGCCCTTCGACCAGGACCACCCAGTGGGGCTGAAGGCCACGACGGCCTGGCGGAGGATGCATGGACCAGGGTCCACTTGGCATGGTGGTTGTACTGCTCCCAATGCTATCGTGCACAAAAACATAACATGTCCTCCGGCCTCGAACTGCCCCTTCGTTGAATCCAAGAAGTGCTTCAGGACATCATGCGCCAGTCCGCCCAGCGCCTGGGCGGCCCCAAGCCCAAACGCATGTCTCGTCGGAAGAGCCCAAAAAACAAGGGTCAACATATCCTGAGCACAACGATGGATCAAAAATTGTCAAAACAAGCTGTGCCATGTCTTCTGGGGGACGATTATATACGCCTGAACAAGCGATTCTGAAGTTCTGGAAGGCTACGGGGATGTAAATCACCGCCACAGCTCTGTTGGCATTTGGTTTGGGGGTTCTGTCAGGTTTGCTCTCGAATCAACAATGGCCTCATGAGCGTTTTCAGGCTCTCCCAGCTGGCCCAGCTGGTCAAAATGATTTTTGCCCCCCACACCGTGCTAGGACAGCTGACTGCGACTCAGCCACACACATCCAAACGCAGCAGCCCTCCTTGTCGATACTCCACAAGCGCTGCCCTTCGCACAGCTCAGCATCGCCCCAGCCTTGCATGTTCAGCGCTCGGGCTCAGCGGGCTCAGCGGGCTCATTGCACATGAATCACTTTTTTCACAATCTTCACATTCGTCAAACTGATGCATGGCATTTCATGACCCATTTCAATTACAGTGAAGGCACCCATCAAATGAAATCCATTTTGAAAGGCGAAGCATTGTTCTCGTGCTGTTAAAGAAAGAGGAAACTGCTGGAAAATCCAAGCTGTCAAAACAGAGGTAGTGTCCGAAGAACTACGTGTGAGGTGAATGAACACGAGGATCAAACACAAGCGAATTGGAAGGTCAAACAAATGACCGCGGCCGCGCGCCGTTTTCGGCATCTCAAGCCCGCCCTGCGGTGCGAGCAAGTCAGTCAACCTAGTTCGACGGCGTCCGAACTCACACCGGTGGTGGTGTTCAGTACGCCAGGGCCTGGAAAGCTAAAAACCAAGCCTGCATGTCGGTCCGCAAGCTTCCCCCACCCACTGATGGTGAGGAGTTGGGAAAATCCAGTGGTGACCTTGGATCTCCACAAAACGAGCAATGGCGCAGGACCAACCGATTTCTCTCGTTGATCTGGGGCGCCGTCTGACAGTGCTCGTAGTGCCAAGCCACTCCGGTCTTGGATGCAATGACCGGTCGTGTAGTAGGGCAAACACTCATGTGGGAACCAATGCCATTCTCACACCTTTGCAGCAGACTTTGGGCAGAGCTGAGCATGGTGAAGAGGTGTTGCCTTTCACTGTACCATGCATTGCGCTCTTCCAAGTTGAGCTCAATGGCCCGTCTGGCCTCGAGTGCCGCGTCTCGGTACTCTGAGCTGCGCTGCTGTTCTAGCTGGAGTTGTTCACGCAGCCGGGAGTAGACGATCAGTTCGTCCTTCTGTGTTGAAGCTTCTGAGGTTGCCGGTGGTGGTGTCGGCAACGGAGTGGAGCTTCCTCGTCGGCCACTGACAAAGCCGCAAAGGAAGATGACAGCAAAAGGAAGCACTTGTACCAAAAGAAGTGCAGGGAGAAACCAATTGTCATCATCATTCACCACTGGCTCTTTGGGCGGTGCGATGTCTCCTTTGGAGGGAGATGGTCGCTCTTCACATTGATCACCAGTTGCCCCACAGGTCTGCAGCATCATCAGCCAAAGTACCCAAACCATGACATTCTTGATGCGACACTGAGTGTTATACTTCTGGCGGCGGCAGCCGACATGGCTTGAGGCGAAGGCATACACAATCACATGCTCGGTGGTGACCATGTTGACATACTCATCAGGGATTCCTCCGTCGGGCTGTGGAACCTCCTCATTGTCCATGTCATTGTCCTCACGCTGCCAGTGCACCAAGGGGGTGCTCGCCGTTGTTTCCTTCAGGGCGGTGATCTTCTCGGTGGGGCTCTTTTTCTTCATGGCCTTGTATTCAGGATCCCAGGTCAGTTTCAAGCGATGGTGCTTGATGCGTAAGGCCATCAACGATCGAGCCGCCTCCTTCGTGAGCCCGTCAGCGATCTGTCGATCAGAGCTGACCCACTTCAGAATGCCGCCAAGCTCCTGCAGCCGCTCTTTCATCACCCGAATCTCGAGTGAGACCCTTCTATCAACCACTGAAGACGTAGTCCCCTCCCTGTGGTAGGAGTCGTAGAGCGCCTTCGCGTCTGTGATGACCACGGGCCTCAGTGTTGACGTGGCCTTGAGGAGATCTCGCAGTGGTAGGTCTGGTTCAAGAAGATGATGCCAGTACCTACAAATGAAGTCCACTGCATCGCTGGCTTGTCCACCAGCTTGAGCTTCGGCTCCCAACGAAGAGCGTGACACTCTAGGTGTTTTGAAGGACCGCCAGTCAATCACATGGTAGTCCCCCTCCTCTGAGGAGCTCAGGAGGTGCTCGTTGATGAACATCACGATGTAGCCACCTTGGGAAGTTCCATCCGCTCGGGAGGAGAAACCAGCATCGAAGAAACACACCAACCTCAGCTGCTCTGCAGGACCCAAGTGGTTGTAGCACAGGCCTGCATCCTTGTGTTCTTTTGCGAACTTCAGCAGCCGGTTGCAGTCAGCCAAAGTTTGCACAGTGCCATGGTTCACGTGAGCAGCAAGTTGAGAAGTGCTGCACTGTAGATGCGGTGAGGTCTGAACCGCTGGCCATTGCAAACTTCCAAGAAGGCCCCGTAGTTGAGTGATCTCTCTCTCATGCAGACTTTCGTGTGTGCCTCTCTTCTTGTCGTAGGAGATCGGGGTGACCTTCTCGAGGTACTTGGTCTGGTGAAGCTTGCGACCGCCAGCCTCTGTCTTCTCAATTTCGCAGCCACAGTATTCCAGGATGGGCTCTTCTTCTTTCCACTCTCGAAACGAGAAGCGCTCCTGAAGTTGCTGCTTCACGGCATTGTACCTCGGACTCGAAGGACAGCCAGCACCCAACAGGTCATCAACGTGCATGATAATCATGCCCACCAGTTCTTGTGATCCCAAGTGGCTGGTGTTGTTCAGCTTGGAAGTGTCCTTCTGGTAGTTCTCATCGTCCACCTCATAGATCAAGAAGGCACAATGGTCTAGGGCATGTTGTCGCAGGCCCAGCTTCTGAAGGCGGTCAACTGCCTCCAAATACCAGCCCCTCGGAGCGTCGATCTGGCCGTAGCAGGGCTTCAGGAGCAGCATCCTGGTGTTCTCGTCTCCTCCCAGGAGTGCTAAAGCTTCAGCCGGAAGCTTGACCCAAAGTTTCCTGTCTTGACTGCGGCCTTGGAGGAAGGCGGTGCTGACATCGGCAGTCCACAGTCGCCATTTCATGGTGGCAGCCAAAGAGAGCACCATAGATCTCGACAGCCTGGTTGTTGTCGGTGAGGATGTTTCCACCTGTCCAGCTAGAGCATCGGGATCAGCAAATCCTCTGACAATCAGGCGAGCCTTCGCCCGAGGTGATCCATCGGGGTTCTTGGACCACTTCAAGAGGATGCGGCTGGTCAGAGTGCGAGCAGGGTCGGCCTCCTTGGTCGTGTCGAAGACCCATACGTGGTGGTCAAAGAAGCTCTTCAACTCCTTCACCTTGGCCTCTTTGAACATGGCTCTTTCGTGGGGTCCAAGGAGTCGCTCATTCACGCCGTTCTTGTCCTTCTTGAACTTCTTCTGGCGTGCCAACTTTTGTTCTTTTCCCTGCTGTCTTGCACTTGTGCAGTTTTGTCGTCCTTGGCCGCTGTACATTGCCATCTCCTTTCTGGTGGAGCCATTGATCTGGAAGATGGTAGCACCCGTCCAGGAGGAAGTGACATTCGGAGGTGCAGAGCTGTCAGTGCCATCATCAGTGTGGAGACGACTTGTTCCGTTGTTGAGGTGCACTACGGTTACCCTGATTCTGTCCAGCTGGTTGCGCTCGATTGGGCAATCCCTGGGCAGTTGATCGATGTGGAGTCTGCCACGTCGAGGCGTCAAGTGGTGCCGGATCAGACAACCAGCACGAATCTCCCAGAAGTCGGTGGTGCGGTCAGTGAGCTGCAAATAGCCATGCTCATCCATTGTCCAGCCAGAGGGAAGCATCTTTGTGTCAATGTCATCCACGTGGAAGGCCTGACCTGCAAGATCATCGGTGGACGGTGGAGTTGGTGCAGTCTCCGAGACAGGGTACGGTGTCACCTCAGCCCTAGTGTGACGTCGAAGCGGTGCAAAGCTGATGGTCTCCTGTCGGTTCAGCCGGAGACGTCTCTGTTCAAAGCCCTCTCCAACGGCAGGTTCGTAGAGCTCGGCAGTGATGGAGTCAAGAGCTGGTGTGGTCTGTGGAGGAGCGGAACGATTTGCTCTTTGTTGATTCGGACTTTGAGCGTCTGCTGGTGTTTGTGGTGCTGTCTGAGCCGGTGGCTCTTCACTGGGTTCAGAGATGGACGCAATGCTGCTCGGTACCCGCGGCAAAGGCGGTGGTGCTGCCGGTCCTTCCGGCTGTGGTGTTGTTGGCGCAGCTGGCATCATCTCGAATGGTCCTGGTGCGGAGGCTTGTGGGCTTCCATCGGCACGAGAGGTTGGAGTGTAATCCTCCAAATCAACCATGGGCAGCTCGTGTAGCTGTTGTGGTGCATCAGCAGGCGGCACACCCCGTGTGGGTTCTGGAGTGGCTTCAGTACCTGGTGGTAGAAGACGTGGTCTTTGACAAGGCGGTGACAGCTCATGATCTGACTCGTCCTCAATGAGGTCACCTGCAGGATCATCCATATGGGCGTCACTGTCCACATCCACCAGGTTGCTCTTGTTGAGCTGGCGCACGTCATAGTATCGAAGTGACACCTCGGGACTTGAGCTGTCGAACAGTAGTGAGCGCAGATTGAACATCATCCAATGCATGCTGAGAGCCCTTGATGTCGGCTCTGACATGGTGTGGGGCACATCGGATGAGCTGCGTCTTGTAGGCCAACCAGTACACGTGAACTCGATCTTGGCCCTCACCATCCTTCTTGTGCTCCTTCATGACGACATGTGCTGGGCCCAACCACCTGATTTTCACCAAGTCCGGCTGACGAGCATCTCTCCAGAACCAAACTTGTTGTCCGAGGCTGTACTCCGAATTGAGGCCTTTGTATTTTGCCCCGAGTGCACGTCGGAGTCTCTTGTCAGCATCGGCCTCGATCATGGCCTTCTGAGCGGCGCTGCGGCGAGCCAGGGTCAGTTCGAAGTCCTCGTGGCCGCCGAAGTGTGCTGGTTTGAAGGTGTCTGCAAGAAGACTGCCAGCCAGTTGTGGTTGATATCCAAGCACCCATTGTACAGGTGAGAAACCTGCCACTGTGTTGCTGCCATTGAGTTGAGGAACACAGTAGACCAAGGCCTCCTTGATACCCTTGGCATTATTGCAATGTTGATCAGAACAGTAGATCTCCACGGCCTTGCGCAGTAGTGCATGCCGGCGTTCGACAACAGCCAAGCGCTCATGTGCCTCACCGGGGGCGACCTCGTGGAAGATGCCATGAGCAGTGCTCCATTCCTCAAAGATGCGACTTAGCCACGGGCGACCCTCGTCAGTGATGAGACGTTGTGGTGGACCGAAGGTGGAGAGCCAGCATCGCTCCAAGGCCTTGATGTACTCCTCAGACTGTTCGTTCCGCAGCAAGTAGGCAGAGGTGTAGCGAGTGGCCATGTCAACCACGCTGAGGACTGGATACTTGTCCTTGCCCATTCGGATCCAGAACACATCAGCTTGGAGAATCTGGTTGAAGGTGGCAGTCTGTGGCATGGCTGCAGGTGCAGCGTCTCCAGGCTTCTTGTATTTCGCACAGGCAGAGCACACATAGTTCCGGGCTGCTTCGATCACCTCTGCACTGGCTCCTCTTGTCGCAAGCAACTCGGCCAGCTCGGCAGGTCCAGGATGTCCAAGGTTGCGATGTAGTCGTTGAACAGTTCTGATGGCATCCTGTCTGACTGTGGTGCGAAGGCGGATCAGATTGCCCGTCGCGATCTTCTGCTCTGCAGTCATGAAGCCCGTCTCCCAAGCCTGTGGGGCTTCTTCAACAGCCATAGCACCTGCCAATGTGGCAGCAAGTGCCGGTTGGTACTCCTCCAAGTACTTGGTGCGCGATCCAAAGCCAGTGGCATGGCCTTCCAGAGCACAGTGCTGATGATCTCCTTGACATTGAAGTGTCATGACATCTTGAAGGGCCTGTTTGGTTGTAAGCAGCGAGGTGCTCTTCTTGACGGGCCGCCATTGTCCATCGGTGTCCATGCAGGCTGCTCCATATCGACATTGGTCGAAGTCAGCTCGACGTCCCGGAAGATCTCTCAAAGCACGAGTGCGCCAGGAGAGCGCGTGCTTGGGCTGTTCAATGTGACCATGACGGCCATTGTGCACTTGACCAAGATAGGCTCTTCGAACAAACATCAGGTGACGATCATGATGATGTTGCCGAGCAGCACGAAGGGCTTCCTGTTGAGCTGGAGTTCGTCTTCCAAGGGATTGCATCTTACTCCAGAGCTTGCACTCAGGTGCCAAGAGAACTTCGTCAGGACATTCTTCGTCTTGTAGTTCCAGGAAGGCGCTCTGGTGGTCCAACCTGTTGAAGTCCCAGCCGGTCTCATAGGAAAACTGCCGAACCTCCATGCCAAGACTCTCCGCCACTTGGGAAGTGCGTGAAGCGCCACAGTACACCTCCCACAATTTTCGTTGAGGTTCTGCTGGATGAAGTTGCTTGGTGACATATGCCGTGAGCTCACTCAGATGAGTGTTCAGGTGGATGTCCATAGTCCTGAGGTCATGGCGCCGAAGTGCCTTGGTATGGGCTTGGTGTTGATCTGCTTCAGGCTCGGTGACGGCGAAGCCAGCTTCTTCCTTCTCGAACTCTGCCAGTGGGACGTCCTCCTCCTGGTCCAGATCAGCTTCGGCGGTCTTGAGGCAGTACTCGGGTTGCTCCGGGTCATATTCAACGAGGGAGTGCTCATCAGTGAGTGACAGGAGGTACTCACCTTGCCGACCAAGCGTGGCCTGTCGCCAGCCACCAGATCCAAAGCGAACCCTGCGAAGTGCAAAGTCCATCGTCATGCCCATGGCCTCAATGATGGGGCGTCCACATAGCATTGGTGTATGACCTGGCAGCAGGAACAGCTGTACGGTGCCATATCGACCGTCCAGGAACACTGGCACATGTGCACTCCAGGTCGACCAGGAAGCTGCATCTCCGCCGAATTGGAAGCGGCGTCTGCCACGAGTCATCTTGATCTTGTCAATCGGGAACTGACAGTCATCCTTCAGGTGTTGCAGGAAGCGGCGAAAAGGGCCATAGCCTGACAGGAAGGCACTCGCACCGGGATCCAACATGACACAGTCAGGGCGTTGATGTCCATTGTGATCCTCAAAGATGATCATGCCCTGCTCCTTCTCCAGAATCTGCGCCATACCCTCAGTGGGGGCTGGGCGCTTGAGACCAGTGCCCTTTGAGGCGCTTTGGGGACAGTTGGCTGCCCAGTGACCCTGCTGTCCGCACCTGAGGCAGGTCATATTGGACTTAGCTCTGCCCTTGGGATCGCTTTTGCCAGCACCTTGTGGTGGATATCGAATGGTGGCACTTGGTTTTCCTTTCCCTTTTGATTTGCCGCCCTTGCCTTTTCCTTTCTTCTGCCAGTGCGAAGGGCTCGAGGAGGATGAAGAGTTGGCCATGACAGGTTGCTGGTTGTTGTCCGTGAGGGCGACCACTGGCAAGAAACCTCGAGCCATCTTCAACTCATTGAACCTGCGCCTGGCATCAGTGTAGGAGGCGAACGCCGTGTCATATTCATCAGCAAGACGTTCTGGGCTGCCGGTCTCATCAGGCTCCTCTGGCCAGGGTTCTTCACCATAGTAGGCAGCGTCGGCGTCGAACTCCTCCTCCTCGTAGTCGTAGTCATAGTCGGCCACCTGTTCATCGACTTCATAGTAGCCGGTTTCATCATCCCAGCCGGAGTCTTCACCTTCCCACCATTCATCTTGTGCCGCGTAGGCCCGACTGCTATTGCCCCACCTCTGGAAGCGCTTGTTGCGATCATGATTCCAGCCGCCAGCCTTGTAGTCTTGGCCGAACAGGAGATAGAGGGCTTCGATGATCGCGGCTTTCTCCAATGTGGGTGCCTTCAATGTGACCAGCTGTCGTTGTTCCTTCGTCAAGGCGGCTCGACGCAGCAAATGCCACCCTTGAACGGATTCAGGAAGGGACACTTTATGTTGTAGGAGTTTCCTGTAGGCCTCCTCATGATCGTTGACATAGGTCAGGAGTGTTTGACCTGGAGCACGTTGGAGGAGGTTGAAGTATCCTTCGAAGTCTGAAGGAAGCTGGACTCGTTGGTTGTACGAGAAGTTGCTGTCCAGTAGATTCAACATGGTCTCGAAGGCATCGTCCTCGTCGAAGCGGTCCAAAGGCCAGTCTTCGAACAAACGCCAGACCACCCCCTTGAAGCTCCCAACGATGTTGAGGACCCCCTCACTTGCCTTCTTTGCCAGCGTCATCTTCCGGTAGTAGAGCTGCACTCGCTGGCGCCATTCACGATAGTCAGAAGGCTGACCGCTAAACAGTGGCACATAGCTGTCACGGACATCAGTGTAGGAGGTGTCCTCGGTCGAGCTGGTTCCGGAGCCCTGGGCCTTCCCCTTTTGTTGACCTTTCTTTTGAGACATCCACGAGGTCAAAGAACACGATGTAGCCCCTCCTTCAAAGGTGTTGTTCAAAGAGGTCGGGTGAGAGGAGCGTAGCAAACTCGGCAAGGGGTAGGTGACCAAGGTCTTGTCCAGAGCGCTCAGCTCGTTCAAGCGAAGTCCGCAGCGGGAGCCCTCGCCCTGGAAGGGCTCGGGCTCCGCTACCAATGTCAAAACAGAGGTAGTGTCCGAAGAACTACGTGTGAGGTGAATGAACACGAGGATCAAGCACAAGCGAATTGGAAGGTCAAACAAATGACCGCGGCCGCGCGCCGTTTTCGGCATCTCAAGCCCGCCCTGCGGTGCGAGCAAGTCAGTCAACCTAGTTCGACGGCGTCCGAACTCACACAAGCAATTACAGGGCTTCGAAAAAATACTGACTGTAGGTCATGAGGGCACAAGCTGACTAACAACTATCACCAGTCCAGCCTGGTCAACGTCATACTGTCATACTGTGTCTCCACCCTTTGCTTTGCCCAAAACACAGACACCCCTCCCTGGCCACAACCGTGCAAGCACAAACACCCCGCGCCCAAACCAAGCCACCTGCGAGTTGGATCACCTTCCACCGGCGCGGCTCCACGAAGACTGGGGACTTGGCAGCAGCGGCCACCGACGCAGCCGCGCGCTCCTGGGTGGCGGCTGAAGAGGCTCGTTGCAGAAGGAAACGGACGGGGTGTGGGTTTGGCAACAGATCTGACCAATGACTCAGCTGGGGAACAGCAGGAGCAGCAAGCAGTGAACAAACCGCTTAGACTCAGAAAGACGCGCACTGGCGCAGGCTCCATGCTGGCACTCTCTGTCGCTCCTTCCCAATCTGGTAGCAACCGACCTGAGTGTCCACCACATGCAGCCAAACGGGTTCGAAAACCAAGGGCGTTCCACTGAAGCAAAGGTTTCCGTCCTACAATTCAGTGACAAAGGCTGTCCGGACAGTTCCGGCAGGATTGAAAAAAAGGCGAAGGGCCAGAGGTTGTTGCCAACAGCTGCCGCAGCCAAAAAGCCCAAGCCAAGCACTCTGTTCAAAAAATACATCACTCCTACAAAAGCAACTCCCCCTTTACCCTCTCATCAATTCGGCCGGATTCCCTCCCAATCTCCCAAAGTCCAGCCCAAACTTCCTCGAACCTCCGGCCGCAGCTCCCCATCCCAGCGGCCACGAAGAGCGTCTTGGGCTCTCGTTCCAGCTCTCTTCGGGTGATCTCCTGCAGCCACTCACACGCCACAGCCTGCGGCACAAAGCGCCACCGCGCCGAGCAGTAGGTCGTGTCCAGGAAGAGCTCCTCCAAACGCGGGACCGGCGGCGCGGTGGGACCGGTGAGACGAAGCAAAAGGGTGGGGCGAAAAAGGTACAAGGTTTATTTGGGTTCCCTGAGGGGTGGTCTTGTGACCTGTGTAAACAGCCAGAAGCTGTGCTTCATGTGGAATAGAACAGCTTGAAACCAGGGGATTCCTGAGAACAGGCTCATCATTCCGCTCCACAAAGAAATAGCCAGCAGGAAGGATGGTTTGCATCAACCCCGTCAGGCGGTTGCCAGGCCACTTGCAAGCTCCAAGCGGATTCTCCGAGAATCTGATGCACAAATTGAGAAGGAAGCCAAAAAGCCCCTCCTCGACACTTCGGCCAGCTAACCAGCGCTGCAGCTGCGTGCGGGTGTCATTGGAGGCGCGGCAGTCACCTGGTGTTCGGCGCACCCCGTGGGAACCCAGCTGGGGGCCCAAGCAAACACAAAGCATCGCGGCATCGCATGTTCAACTATTGGACGATCCTTCGTGACTGGTGTATAGTAGTGCTCAAGTTTTCCTCATCCGTGGTGTCTGGCGGGGACGTCTGCAGCTCAGCTGCCGGTGTGGAGGATCACGCCATCCACGCCCGGGGCCTCGCAACCGGACCAATGAGCACGAGCACAAGCTACAACACACGACACGGGTGCGGATGGACTGTGAATTGCAGGAGGCGGCAGGTGTCACAAAAACATGCTGCCTCTTGGATGGAGCATGGGGAACGAAAATAAAAATCGTTGCCATCCCAGCCCAGTTTGCCCCGCCAACTTGGTGGCTTTGGTGGGGCCTGCCGCCCTCCTCGCCTCAAAAGCCGCCATGGCGCTGCCAGGGCAATGCCCAGCATCCACGAAGGTCAAGGAGACTCCTTGCACCTGGTCAGGCGCATCACATCGCATAGCGGGCTGCCTCGGACACCTTATAGCCTGTCATAGCCTGGGCTTGCATCATCTGGGAACGGAGCAATAGTAGAGGGGGCTTTTATATGGCAAGTGGTTCCGGCTTGCATCATCTGAGATAATGTAGTAGCACACGTATGAACAATGCCCGGAAACCATTAGAGACTCGATTGCTCTTTGATGGTATCTGATCTGGCCAGCTTGCCCTTGAAGCTGGTACTGCCCACAGCATCGGAAAGGATAAGCCCAGCTAAACAACTGAAATATTACGTATTCGTGGTTGTCTTCTTCACCAGTGGCAGAGCAAATTTTGTCCCAGCTGGCCTCCACCGTCTGCTCCAAAGGCAATGCACGGACATGAGCAGGGTCCACGCCCATCATGTTTATGATCAAGGCTGCCGTCACCTCCTTAGATGTGGTTCCTATGAAGAAAGCTCCAGCCTCCAAAATGTCTTCTCCCAGTCCACCTCCAAGCCCAGGCACCGTGCAATAGATAGTTCCAGAATCAAAGCCCCTGGTCAGCCCCACCGTGTGGTCACTGTGGAAGTGCGTGAGCACATAATGCTTCACCTCCGGACCTCAGCTGATCACACTCGTCGGGCTGGTCCAGTCGTCCCCAGAATCGTGTCCAGTCATCTCCAGTCATTGGTGATCGAATCCATTCGGCGATGAGTGACCACACCAATGGGACCGGGAGGTGCGATGGCACCCCAAACCAAAGGACGAACTGGAGCTCGATCTGCGTAGAAGGAGCAGCAAGCGGGGGCCGAAAGCGACAAGACAGGCAACCACAAAGAAAACACAGCGACTCCACCACTGAGAACCCGCACGCTTGAAGAGGAAACCATCAACCAGAAAATCCTGGGCACAAGAACTGGACAAGCCTTGCACATGTGGACCCTATGCAAAACGACCGGAAACTGGGCCCCCCGGCTACGCCATTCAGGTGCACTAGCTTGGCGTCTTGCGTCTGCGCCGCCATGCCACTGCCCCATTGACACTTACATCACTCGTGTCTGTGCACCCTTGCTTGCGCAAGCATGCTCCTTGCAAGCCACAAACCTAGCTTAACACCTTGCACAACAACATGCGATCAGTATGAGCGCAGCTTCTGTTCTACCGCTCCCGCTCCCGCCCTTCTACAACCCGCTGCTACTCCGTGATGAATTTTGGCCAGGCCGGCGGCCTAGGGCCCGGGCCCATGTTGCCCCACATGAGTCTTGAGCCTCGAAGCTGTGAAGACAGAAGGGAGGCCGAAGTCAGAGCGCTGCCGGCGATGCCAATCGAACGAAGGGAGATCGAAGGGAGATCGAAGGGAGATCGAAGGTCTGAGGCCTGGGTAAACGAGTGGGTCGGACTACATGGCATCTTCGGGCATGAGGCGACAACCGCAGAAAGCAGCAATGTCATTGATGCATGTGGAGGCCGGGAAGGCCATCCCTCACACCCACTCTCCTGGAAATCAGTGACCTGCAGATCAGGTTTGCCAGTAAGTTCTGCAACATCTCTTTCCATCTTGCACTGAAGATGCGAATGCCTAACGGTGAAACAACAAAATCTGCCGAGCTCGGCCACTCAGAAAGCCTGCCATCCATAAATCAGATCGACTTGCAACGCTTCTGGGCTAGGTCGTACCACAACCATGGCCATAGAAGATTTGCAAGCTTCGTTTTCTGGAGGCACATGGCAGTGCTTCCTCGGCCACGTCGTACCACAACGATGGCCATGGAAGAACGGCTAACATTGCTTCTGTTGGGAAGCAAAACTACAGAAGCAGGCGGCCATCCATCTTTCGATGCACCCCTGACAAGAACCGCGGGTGTGCGAAAGAGAATGTTCAAAGCGGATGTTTGCAACTATATAGTTGGTCAACAGTTCCGGAACTGTTGGTTAACAGGTTGGGTCAAGCACCAAGGGTAAGGCCAATGTCTTCCAAGCCCTTCCTCTACTTTCTCAACCATGCCCACAAAACATAATCCTGACTCGGGTTTTCACAATCAAGGTGCTTTCCAATAGGACCAAGGTGTTGATTTCGGAGAGGGACCTTGCTCAGGTTGCTCTCAGGCCGCTTCATCGTTTCGCATGGCTCACTTTTCGGCCTCTGCTGGAGAGGATCCATGTAGAAATATCCCAGCAATGGTCCAAACCCACAGTCATGTGAGTCGAATCACTACATGAAACCTGATTGGCACTCGAGCATGACATACTCCGTCTTCTGGTTCCATGCTCATTACTATCTAAATGCGAAAGCACTCTTCGAAGGCCGGCACAGAGACATCTATGAGGCTGCCTGAACCCGAAAGCCTGAGACTGAGTCAACACAATGTAGAACTGACAGAAGGTCTGAGCTTAAGGTGTGTATGGCCAAACGGGCAAACGAGCTCGATCATCGAGGAAGACCAGACTACGGACACTGAAACCACCTTCCAGCTCCAGGTGCTTGGCCACGTGCGCTGGACAGCGCCCACCCAAACTCCAACCGATTAGAATCACTCCGAACTGTCCAATCCGGAAAAACCCGCTAGAGACCTGCGAGGTGGCCCAAGGCTGTGCAACCCCAAGCTCTCACCAAATCGGGGGTGTCCACGCTGCATAAAACCTGAAACAAGCTGGACGCCAAGGCCACAAAAGTTGAGCCAAGTGGACCCTGTCTGCACGCACCAGCAAAAGCGAGAATCTTCGAGGCAAATCCATGTGGAGCGCACAACGGGCGCTGCTTCGAAACACAAGAATTTGGGAAACCACAAAAACCCTGACTCCTCTCACCCCTTTGACCCCAGTCTCTGGCACAGAGTTGCCACGCACGACAGCTGAAGCAGTTTCCACGCGTCTTCAAACAGGTTTCCCCTCGGAGTGGAGCGGTCTCCGAATGGCGTGGCACATCTCGGCGGTGGCGACGCGTGCCTGGCAAGCAAAGCGGCACGGTGCAAAAAGGCGAAGCGATTCACGTGGGCGTCCAAGCTTGTTGGAAGAGTTGCAGAACACTCGCCAAGCTGAAAAACATTGGGCAAGTGACCACCACTTGATTAAGGCAAAGGAATCAAAGGAAAGAATGGAGCGATCGGCTCTTGCGGCTGGCCAGGCAATTGCTTGGCAAACAATGCCAGGTGCAGTGGTTCTGTGGTTCAATCATGCTCAAACTGGAGGTGCCACATTTGGGGAAGATCTCAGGAAGACTTGTGCCATCAAGGGCCAAGGGCAGCCTAGCGAAACGTTGTGCCATCAAGGACTGCAGACTGCACACGATGTGGAGCGACTGTCATAGACTCCAAGGTGTCACATGAGCTGCGCAACAAAATCTCAAATGAGTCAAAGGCCACCGAAGCAGGATCTCGAGCATGTGGGAATGGCAAGACGGGTAGACAGCATGGTGCGCTGGGATCATTGGCGCGCATCCAGATCTACTAGTGGATAGCACTTGTCCCACAAAAATTGGTGGCCCCTACAAGGCTGGGTCCCTTTTGGGTTTGGTGCATTGTTCATCGCACAGTTGCTACGACCGTGAAGTTCCTCCCGAGTCTGCAAAGTGTTCCGGCCATCATTCGTAGTCCTCTAAGACCTCTTCATGGCCAACTCTGCTAGCTGGGTGAGCCTCTTGGGCTTGAGCAAGCTTGCACGACAAGTTTCAAGCACAGGTCCCTCAGCTCAACCCACCTCCTCCAGTCCAACACGCATAGCACAGCAGGTGTCATGTGACGGTTGCGATCGACGTACTTGCACTTGTGGTGAGAGGCATGTATATCAACAGTCCATTTGCCAAGCAAGCCTGAAGGCTACACATGTCAGGCCTTCCGCCTTGAGTCCTCAGAAGGCATTTCGCGGCCAGGGCCCGCCAGAGCGATGTCATCTGCCATCGGCCCAAGCCGCAACCGGCCCACCGGTTTCAACCGATGTCGCGTAACGGCTCTCGTCCGTCGGCGATTCTCGTGACACAGGACCCGTGTGTTCCCGGTGGCTGACGGGCAATGCTGCAGGTGAATGGTCGCCTGGTAAATCTGACCGCTCGGGCAGGGCCATTTACATACAAAAAAGTCACAATGATGATTGAAGGGAAGGTGTTCTCATCTCCAGTTTGAGCAAAATAGGATCAAACTTGCAGGGCTTTGAGGTTGCCTCGCCGCATGATATTACTCGGATGAAGACTGCAGAGCATGCCTCCCGCCAAGATGCAGGCTTCCCGGTCACTCTGCCGGGTTGGATGCCCCGCCAAGCATCCAACAGCTTCAACTCACACAGCAAGGCTGGAGGCCTTCAACAGCCTAGCTTCACAAGTACATGTGAGCATGTGAAACATTGGCACATCATAAGCTCCTGGATTTCGGCTTTTGCCTTACCCTCGATGTTTTATTGCACTGAAAGGGTCTGTTTGTTCAATAGTAAAAAGGTGACATGAGCTGGGTTGAGATCGTTAAAGACAGGTTGCATTATATCTTTTATTGCGCTTTTCTTATTGATCATTCAGTGGAGCATACCATTCTCAAAGACTAATTTAGCAGGCTCACCCGCTTCGCCCTTCAGCTCCCCTGCCATGTAAGCGCTATGATTGAATCGCAAAAACTGCCTCCGCCAGTCACTTTGTCCTGGTCTAGTTGTTTTTCTTGCCTTTTGATCTGGAGACCTGTTGAAGTTGTTTGACCACATCTTGGAGTAATGAAGAAGCCTCCTTCGTGGTGGGGCAAAGCCGAAGCTTGGTGCGAATCACTCTTAAGTTCACAGTTGGGCAAGTGTGCCGACTCGCTATCGCATAGAAATCTCAAGCTTTGCCAGCAAGCGACGACGCCTTGGTCCAGAGTCTCCGCTCCAAGGGAATCCTCACGGAAGACAACAAGTGGGCGTACCTCACCTGGGACACCCAGGCTCAGCTGCTGAAGGCCAACAAGACACCACCTTTGGCCTTTGGCATCGGACGAGATGAAAACGCCGTGGAACGCATGGCTCATCTTGGACAGCCGGGGGTCATCCAGTTCTCGGCCTTGCACCCGGTGAACCAAGAGACTTTGCCTCGCACTAACCGCCGCCAGACCGTGGAGACTCGACAGCCTGAGGTCCACGGGAGCCACAGAGCTTTACCATTTGTGGAAGCTGTCGGGCAACGGAATCTCACAGCTGGTGCGTTGGGCGAACCTTCAACGGTCGCCACGCAATCCTTCACGGGAGTCCTGGTGGCTCAACGTTCGCACGAAGGTACCTAGATAGCCGGCAATGTAGCCGGCAGGAACCAGTTGACACTTAACCACCTCCTCACAGGAAAGCCTCAAAGTATGTAGATGCATCACTTACTAGCTTGGCAGATTGAAGGCTTTAGGCATCGAATTACTTCCTAACACCTGGCACATCAAACATGATTTCTACAACTCAGTGCCAAGGTCTAAAGTCCAGTGGGCTCCTTTAATGCGTGACATTCACAGTCACTGAAAGACACAAAATTGCTCTCAACCTTGTCATGGCAGCTTCTGGACAACGTCCGTCTTGGCGCCAACCTAGGACCTATAATGTCTCAGCCGAACCAGTCGACCAACCGCTTGGCAGCACGTCGGCAAGCCTGATGTACTTGCTGCAGGTCTTCCAACATACAAATTGAGGAGCCCGCAAGCGTGACGAGAACGCTGTGCAACAGGTGTTGGTCTTCCAACATACAAATTAAGGAGCCCGCAAGCGTGACGAGAACGCTGTGCAACAGGTGTTGGTAGACTGCTTCCTTACCTTTGCTTGACTGTACTGCTCACGTCTTGGATGAAACCACCTCCAAACTGCAAGTTCGTGCGGCTCGCTTCATTGCATCAATAGAGGCCACACATGTCATCTAGCTGGTTGACAACAGAATACACACTGATCGAGCCCTAATCATGTTCGTCCCCTACATTGAGTCGCACATACAGCACCGGTGAAACGGTTTATCGTGGAAACACTTGATCCGGGTGACTGGAAGGACTTCTCCAGGCAAAACACCCAGTCAACACGCGGTTCATGCATTCACATCAGTGTGTGAACAGTGCATTGGGCCACAGTAATGTAGAAAAGGGGTCGAAAGCTCTATGACCCAACTGCAAAATTTCGCGGATTTTATGTTGTGATGGCAAAAGGCCCCGCCTTCTTTGGTGGGTTCCAGGCATGTCTGGCACAAATTCCACAAGT